CACCTCCCCTCCCCTCTGATGAATTATGTGAAGTGAGAGGAAGAGTATGCGATTCGTCCCGGAAAAAGTGAAACTCCATAGGCATGCTTCAAAGGCATCAGCTATTAAGGGGCAAGTCCAATTGTAATGCTCTCAAAGATGAGAAAAGCTATGCGGAAGACAACTTGGATGAAACGAATTCCTTGAAGTTGTACCTAAGAGGCATCAGCACATGCTTGTCTACAGTGCACAGAAAATGGGAGTTCTGACCACAGGTTTGTCTAATCGAAGGGAATTCGATTCACCTCATGACGCTTTGTCCACAATCATCTCCTTTATCAGGCTGCTGTTCACAGATGTGCCGCCGTGTCGGGCAACAATACCGCCCTTCGCCAACCGCTTGGAACATCTGAATTGAATAAGCAACTCATCTATGTCAGTTATTTATGAAGAATTTGGAAAAAAGTCAGTAGGAGCTTCAGCTCAACGTTTGTGCAGCCGCTTTGAAACTAACCGGTTTCAAGCATTCGTGGTCGGAAGGACACTGAGCATTCGATTGGCACTCAAGGAGCTCTCCGTTAGGATGTCGATGAAACGCTGCACCACTGGGACATGAGAGCTCTGAAAGGCATCACTGAGGTAACCTAGCACGAAATGCAAGCCTTTTTGGCTAGATCATCAGTTGCGACCCAACCTGGTCTAGCGCAATATTCCATGCACATTTGCCGCACAGGGAAATTGTTCGGAGTTTCCATCACAACCACGGAAAAGAAACGAACGGCAGGTGTTAGTGAGATCGTCAAAAAACCTTGAAGACATCTTGTTTCTCATGAATTCCCACATGGAACAGTGCTCTTACCATCGAACTGATGCCGTCCGATCGCAGGACTTGCCCTCATCGGGTCGCAACATACATATGCTTTCTGGAATATCATATTTAATGTCGTCATCATCAAAAGCCTGAAAACTTGGCACAAATCCTTTAGCCTTGCGAGCCATCGTAGAAGGCGAACAGGAGGTAAATGTACTTCCGATTCAAATCAGATGTCGAATGCGTGGTGCATAAAGAAGATTTCTCGCACCCACAATTTCAGCGCTATCGCTTATACTGCGGTCAGCACAATGGAGCGAGCCCCTCTTAGTAACTATTTCTCATTCATTCCATTGCATATTCGCTTTGTTTCAGAAAACCAGAAGCGCGTCGAGTGCAGACCACACACCACAAGTGACGATGGCCTCCAAGTAAATCTGATAACTAGTGATTCATAGTGATAGCTGATAGTTGGTAAAAAAAAGAGTTGTAAGGATAAGGATAAAAAGGATAAAGCATTTGCCGTTGATCAATCCCTTTTTGGGATGCGGCACGCATTCTACTTCCATTTGTACATTCGCAGTGGCATTTGAATGCGATGTGGCCTATACAATGACTTGCGGGGCCAGCCGATGTACAAGTCAGTGTTTTTATCCTCCCAGACAAGTCTGGTACCAATTAACCGACCCCGGAGGGATGGAAGGCTTGGTTGGCCCGGGCGACTCACGACCCAGGATTTGATCCCCGGACCGCTCGCGTGGTGAGCGCGCCACTTGTCACTACACCACTTCCTTCCGCTATCAAAAAAAAAAAGAAGTTGTAAATATGTGCTTGAACTGATGGAATACAACTGTAACAGCGCTGTCATCGACCACTGGCCAAAAACATGATCATTTTTGATAGAGGCGGGTTCGTCATTGTCGTATGTATAGTTTGCACTCGAAGCGCTTCTGGTTTCCTGAAACGGAGGGTACCTGCTGTAGGGCAACATCCATAAGTGGTTCCATCGAAGTAACATTCGTAGTTTGCTGGACATTCGTTTTCGTTGAGATTCATCGAGCATGGTTTCGAACAGGTCTCCGTCTTTTAGCGGATCTCCTCGCGGACAACGGACCTCACTAAACACCCGATTTTGTGTTTAGGAAATGTTCCAGGATAGGAAACAGACAACATTGTAATAACGTTGCAATTGACCACCAACCTTGGTTCCACGCAAGCGCGTGACAGCTGTTAACGAAAGGAAACTGTTCGAATTGCCATGACAGCCTTTGTAGACGAACGCTCGACAACTTGACGATGAAGCATTGTACCAGAATCGAGAAGAAGCCGAGACGTGACACTCAACTCCTTCACTCAGAGGTAGATTGCACAGAGTCAGCTGCAACAATCCTATTCCTATTATTCAAGGTCATGTAGGAGGCGTAAAACATGATCCTGCCGCCGAAACGATGCAACGAACTAGTCTGTTTAACTTTTGGCTTGGTTTGAGCATATGCTAGGAGACAACTTGGTCCTACCTGCTCTTAAGCAACAATCTTCCATGCGCTGGGCAGGTATAAGTCGATGGGCAGCGATCGGTGGAAGAGCAGGAAACCAGCGTTCCGGTGGGTGATCTCAGCGGCAAGCCAGCCGGACACATATCTAAACAACGATTCTAGTGAATGAGATATAAATGCAAATGAGCTGTTACTGATACAGAACAAAGAATGAGCTTCTGGGAACGTGAATAGTTCAGGACAGTGAAAGAGCACAGAACCATGGTCATAGAGGAAACAGCAATCTGTATCAGGGCTATATATGAATCTTCTTCTTCTTCTTCTCCCTAGCGTTAGTCCCGCGCCGTCGCAGGGTCCGCTGTTCTTATCAGTCGTCGCCACTTCGCTCTGTCCAGGGCATCCCCTGCAGTGGCCATGATTTCGCTTAGGTCCTTCTTGACTACGTCCTTCCACCTCTTCTTTGGGGCTCCTCGCGGTCGCTTGCCTTGCGCTTCAAAGTCCATTGCATTCCTTATTGGGTGGCCTTGTGGTCTTCTTAGCACATGCCCATACCACCGCAGTCGCTGCTCCCTCACCTTCAGCTGAACAGGGGCAGTCTGCATGACCGTTCTGACATCCTCGTTCCTGACCCTGTCCAGTCGCGTCCAGCCGCAGGCCCATCTCAGCATCCTCATTTCGGCCGAGTGAAGCTGCCTTTCGTGGTTCTTGTTCAGGGGCCAGCACTCGCAGCCGTAGAGCATCGCAGGCCTTACCACTGTTCGGTACACCTTCCCTTTGAGCGTTCTGGAGCACCTTCGGTCGCAGAGGATTCCAGTGGATTCCCTCCATTTCATCCATGCCGCGTTGATCCTCCCCTTTACTGCCTGGTCCACACTGCCGTCGGCCGCCAGATCACTCCCAAGGTATCGGAAGTCCTCCACTCTTTCGATGCTTTCACCATGTCCATCCACGATCGGCTCTGCACCCTCTTCGGAGCTCAGGAACTTGGTCTTCTTGACATTTAGCCGGAGCCCCCCTTCTGCCAGGACCTTCTGCCACTTCTGCACCTTGGCCTGTAGTTCTTCTCTGCTATCAGCTATCAGGGCGATGTCGTCAGCGTAGAGGATGGTCTTTAGTGGCCCTTCTATGAGCCCCTTCACCATGACATCTAGTGTTAGGAGGAAGAGGAACGGACTCAGAGCTGACCCTTGATGCACCCCAACCGTGATGTTTACCTCTTTTGTTAGGCCATGTGGGGTGCGTATGGCTGCCTTAGCCCCGTCGTACATGTCCTTCACCAGCGAGACCAGGTGTTCTGGCACGTTCCGTTCTCTAAGCGCTCTCCACAGTACCGCTCGTGGTAGCCGGTCGAACGCCTTCTCCAAGTCGAGGAAGGCTAGGTAACAGGGTCGGCGCTTTTCTCGATACTTCTCCATCACTTGTCTTGCGATGAAGATGGCATCCGTCGTAGACTTTCGGGCATGAACCCGAACTGTTCCTGGGAGATCGGGACCAGCTCCCGCAGTTTCGAGTCGACCAGTCGCTCGTACAGCTTCATTGTATGAGCAGTCAACTTGATCCCGCGGTAGTTGGAGCAGTCCATCGCGTCACCCTTCTGCTTGAAGATGGGGACGATAGTACTTGTTCTCCAGGCATCTGGCATCCTTCCTTCCGCAGTTATGTTGTTGAGGAATCGTGTGAGCCATCTTATCCCGTACTCACCGAGCGCCTTCCAATGCCTCGATTGGCACCCCATCTGGGCCAACCGCCTTCCCAATCTTCATCCTCCCAAGTGCACACCTAACCTCATCCTCAGTCCAGAGTGCGATGGGACCAGCTGTGGCCTCTGCCCGTGAGTCGTTCTTGTGGGGGAACTCCTCGTTCAGAAGCCCCGTGAAGTACTCTTCCCACCTCCTCTTGACTTCGGCTGGCTTCCTTAGGATGACACCATCGCTGCCTTTTACACTTTTCACCACCCTGATGTCTTGAGTAGCACGATGCCGGGCCTTAGCCAGCCTGAAGACGAACTTCTCTGCGTTTCTGCTTCTCCAACTTCTCGTACAAGGCGTCCATTTCCTGTGTTCTTTGCCCTTGCGACGGCAGCCTTCGCAAGCCTCTTGCAGGTTTTGTAGGCAGCGAAGTTCTCGGGACTTCGGCTCTTCTGCCAGCGCTTGTATGCTTCCTTCTTCCTCTTCACGACTCGCTGGACCTCCTCGTTCCAGAACCACGCTGCCTTGTCTCCTCTGAATCCACCTCGCGTCTCACCCAGGACCTCCTTGGCACATCGCAGGATGGTCTCAGCCGCGTTGCCCCAAGTCCGCTGTACTGGCCCGTTAGGATCTGGGAGACCGACTTCCATTATCTTTCGCCTGAGGTCCCTTCTCCGCTTGGTGCAGCTTCCACCACCGGATTCTCCTCTCGGTTCTTACCCTTGTCTTCTTGGGGAGGTCTATCGCAATGTCTGCCAGGAGGGGCCTGTGCTGGGGAGCCAGATCTTCGCCGGGTAGAACTTTGATATCCTTCACAGTTTTGAGGGTTGATCTTCTCACCAGCACATGGTCAATTTCCGTCTGTCTCCCTCCACTGCTGTAGGTTACCTTTTGAGACTTCCTTTTCGCGAAGAACGTGCTGCAGACTGCCAAGTCGTGGGCCGTAGCCAGGTCCAGAACCCTCTCTCCCTCAGCGTTCCTCGATCCTATCCCTCTACCTCCGTGCACCCTTTCTAGGCCTTTTCTATCACTGCCGACGTGGCCATTCAGATCACCTGCTATGGTCAGGTAATCGCCTTCCGGAACCGATCTTATGGCTTCGTCCAGGCTCAGATAGAACTCGTCCTTATCACTTTCGGGGCACCCGGCTTGCGGTGCGTACACGGAGAGTATTGTCCAGTACCCCTCCTTCGTGTCTATCCTCACAGCCATGATCCGATCGCTGATCCTGTTCACAGCGGAGACATAGTCCTTGAGCGACTCCGCTACCGCTATGGCCACGCCGTTCCGCTTGGTGTCTTCTCCATTGTAGTAGAGCTTGACACCTTCCCCGATTTCCCTGGCCTTAGCACCTTTCCATCGCGTCTCCTGAAGGCATAGGACTTGGATATTCCTGCGCGTCATCAGATCAGCAACCTCTCGGGACTTCCCAGTTAGCGATCCTACGTTCAGAGTCCCTATTCGAACTAGCTTCTTTGGCCGAGGCCGTTCACTCCTCGGTAGCCCTCGCATACTGACCACAGAACTCGGGCGGGGGTTCTGCGCGCCACTTCCGGGTGACGTCCTAGCTTTATCACTGATTCTTTGACAACTTTAGACATGATTGGTGTGACTGGGGTATTCATCAGCCGGCCTGTCAACCTGGGCCTGACGCTGGTACTAGAACCATTTTTGCAATTTTTGCAAGGCATGGTTTAGAGCCTCGGCAGGGATCGAACTCGCAGTTTTCGGAGGTGCAGACATGAGTCTAACCTCTTAACCACTCGGCTATCCCTGCCTCAGCCTAGAATATGTATACTTCGTATCTGAAAGGTCTTGCACCAGAACCACCGGCAATTGGTGGACATTTTCATGAAGCATGAAAGCCTCACAGATACTGTTTGTGGACGCATAGGAAGCGAATCGGACCTTTGGCGCTTACTGCAATTCCAACATTTTCGCGGCGATTAAAACTT